CATGATGGACTCATGTGCCAAAGCCATAGTGCAAATACTATTTGCCTCCTCCTTAGGCAAACAAATAAAATGGAATAACACGTTAAGTGCAAATATGGGCAAGAGGCGTGGTATCCATGGTATCGCAACCCTGCTGTTTGAGACTGCACTCAAAGCAGGACAGCCATATGCTCCAGTCTGTGTACTATTTCTAGATCAAAATGAAGTCTTGAGATCTCTCTTATCCAATCTGTTCACTGGTTATGGCAGCTGAATCACCTCCCTCCGGAGACGAAGGTGCCACACTGAGGAGTGTGCCATTTCCACACTCCATCATAGGCCCACCTGACAGACATGGTTATTCAATGCTGGATGCTCATGGAAACATCACCTTAGGTCTCAGTTCTGAGTGTTAGATTTGTAGTTCTATCTTAATTGTCATTTCCAATGGCCCAAAGTGAAATACATTTCCTAGAGGCCTTGACTTGAGAAATTTCTAGATAGAAAAATTAGTAAATTCATTTTCCTGCCTTGAATCTTTTTTCTGTTCTCTTCTTTAATATGGGGGATACAAATAAATGTAAAAAATGGAAGCTTTATCATACACAAATTGAAAACATTTCTATTATGGCTAAATCTCAAACTATGCCCACATGGCCTTAAGGAATTCTATTTATACAATTGAATGCCTTCATGAAACGTGAACATTTGAATTCTGATCAGATGATTACATTTCCATAAACATTATCTATCTATCTATCTATCTATCTATCATCTATCTATTGCATGTCACAATAGCAATTTAGGTTCAGTTAAAACTTTAAAATAGGGACATCTGCATTCAAGGAAGTCCTTAATTAAGGTAATAAAGTCTTGTTTTTCAAAACACAAATGCTCATTTATTATTTTAATAGCTATTCTTTTCTTGAAACATATCATAAACATTATTTTCAGTTACAGATACTTCCTAACTTTATATTAATATGAAATTATACATATATACAAACCAGAGTATCTCTATGTACATAGCATTAAATTAGATAGGTGATGAGAAAGTACATGCTATATTCTACGTGTGACCCTATACATATCTTTTAAAAAGACTATATGGTTTCATCGACATTCCCAGTTATATCAAAGGAGACAGTTTGTATAGTGGTTAAAAACAAGGGTTTTAGGCCAGGCACGGTAGCTCATGCCTGTAAATCCCAGCTCCTTGAGAGGCCGAAGCGGGCGGATCACCTGAGGTTAGCAGTTTGAGACCAGCCTAGCCAACATGGTGAAAACTCATCTCTACTAAAAATACAGAAAATTAGCCAGGTGTGGTAGTGTGCAGCTGTAATCTCAGCTACTCAGGAAGCTGAGGCAAGAAAATTGCTTGAACCCAGGAGGCAGAGGTTGTAGTGAGCCGAGATTGTGCCACTGCACTTCAGCCTGAGCAACAAGAATGAAACTCCATCTCAGAAAAAAAAGGGCTTTGAATTCAGATATTATTTAATCACTTACTAGCTGTGTGAACTTGCCCATTGTCTCTGTTTTCTTTAGGATATTTCCATGGAGATATAAAAAGGTCAATTAATATCTCAGATTAGATGTGAATCATAGTGAACAGAGGTGGAAGTTACCGTTTGCTGTAGTCTTAGAAAAGCAAAATAACACAGAACTAATTGTTCTCTCCAGCCTTCCTCTCCCCACTGAAAATCCCCAATAAAACTTGATTACTTCCTGACCTTGTCATTTTCCTTCCATATCTGTGACCCTGGAGTCATCTTTGACTCCTTTTCCTTTTGGCTTCCATGTTTTATTGCTAAAACAAAAGGTTTAGCCAAATGTTTTGCCTCACTAAGAAGAGATTAATCTATTTCTTACAACTTCACTGGCTACATCAAATACCAGTTTGGTTCTGGAAACATTTCAAAAGCAGGAATTTTAACTTTCTAAATGATTTCAAATTCTTCATGGATCTCAAGAGTTTATTCATCAGAGTGAATGGTCAGTAGGCTCAATTGATAGTTGCACGTGATGGTCATTTATAACTATAGGTTGGTGTATACCTAATCTGTACTGCAGACGTTCACTGACTTGGAAACTAAAACACAAATGTTTAACAAAACACATCAATACTATTCATTTTCTTTGCCATTTTGTTACTGTTTGAGTTAAAGCTCTGTGGACATTTGGGGGTTGGAAAATCGCTCTAAAAACCACAAAGAGGTCACTAATATTGACAGCTCTGAATCCCTCTGAAAAATAAGCACCTGCTCTTCTTATTTACTATAATAACAAATGCTTGGTCTTTGTACAGGTCAAACAGGTTTTTTAGATTTTGCAAAAGGCAATTATCTGACGTTAAGACTGTAGCTGTCTTTAGACCTTGGTAATAAGATCTTAATCAAATATTGGGGGCTTCTGATATTATGAGAGTAACTTGGATAAATATTAATGTAGAAAGTTTAGGCAGTGGGAAAGCCTTACTGTAGTATACTTCTATATATTACAGCCATGTTTTCACTTGCAGTGAGAACGAAAAACAAGCTGAAGATGACACCTGGATTGCTACTAAACTATTTTATGTACTTACTGTGGCTTATGTACTTACTGTACAATTATGTTTTGGTTTGCTACTGAGGTAAAAAGCTGGTTAAGCCTATAAAAATTAATAAAATAGAAAGCAAAGGATGTACCTCAGCTGTTTATGTGTGTGCCACTCATATTAGATTGTGAGCAGGAATTCTTGTTAGGAGGAATTATCTTTCTCATATGATATTCTTAGTGCTTACTCCAATATTTGGTCCATAATGTGTGCTAAAAAAAATGAATAATGGGTGCCTAATTTATAACAAACTAAAGCACATATGGTTTTTGGGTCTACAAGAAATATATATTATTATCTACTGCCCAAATGAAGCAATTCAGGTAAAAATTCTAGAGCTGCATTGTCTGACATGGTAACCACCAGATACATGGTTATTTACATTCAAATTAAAATTAATAAAGATGAAATAAAATAAAAAATTCAGTTTCTCAGGTGCATAACAATGTGTTAAGTGCTCAAAAGCCAAATGAGGTTAGTGGCTATCATAATAAACAGTCCATTTTCTTCATATGAAAAAACCCCACCATGACAGTATATACATTCCAACACACCCAGGTGATTTTTCCTCTTAAGACCTTAAGGATTCCCTAGGAGGAACCCATTCACTATACATTTCTTCATCAACCTGTAGGTTTATGATAGTCTTATAATTCTTCGTGGCTTTTTAAGCACTTTTTAATTCAAATTCAAAACCCTCTGGAGATAAAACGTACTAAATAAATGGTTATCATACTTGTGTGTTCTGAATATTCAGATTCCCAGGCACTACCTGAAAGATCCTGATCCAATAGATCTGAGGTGTCTTAATGAAGCTACATTTTTAGCGACCTCCCTAGGTAATATTGATGCAGGTGGTCCAGGTGCAACATACTGAAAAATTCAGCCTAAGGATTACAAGAAATTATACTGTCGCATCACTTATTCAACAAAACATATTGAGTTTCTCTGTGTTATGGGTCTTATTCTAGGTACCAGTTCTAAAGAGATGAAGAAAGAGAAGCCATCAATGGAAAAGATATTAATGAGTAGTAGCTTTTAGGAATTTGTTTTTCCACCAGTCATACATACCTTAACCACCATGTCCTGTCCAAACCTGCCCCCAGATTTTGCCCAAGTGGCATTTGACTGTTTTTTTCTGTGTGCAAAGGAGAGTCTGAGAAGGACTTGTTAGTAGTAGTAGGAAAAGTCATAGAAGAGGAAGAAGAAAAAGAAAAAGGAGAAGGAGGAGTGGGGAGGGAAAGGGAAGGGGAGAGAGAGAAAGAAAAGAGAATACAAAGAAATAAGCAAAGAACTACAAAAGAAGGAAGAAGGAGAGAAGAAAATGTATCTGAGAAATAGGAAGGAAGACAATGGATACAACTTGGTGACTGAATGTGGGACCAGGCAATAGGCAAGAGGAATGAGTCTGAGATGGCATTTAGCTTCCTGTCTTACGTTGGTAGTTAGTAGGGCCATTCACTTAACAGGCAACACAGACAGAATAGCAATTTTGGGGGAAAGAAGATGGTTCAGTTTTGATATATTGGACCCGTATGCTTAATCTGGTACTTCCAAGCAGAGGCATCTAGAGGCAGCTCGGTGTATGGCTTTAGAGCTTTAAAGACATAGATTTGGGATATACCAGTGTTACATGAAGCCATGGGAATGAATGAAATCACACAGAAAATCATTCTGGAGATTTACAATCATTCTGTAGAGAGAGAAGAGAAGGCGTAGAGGGATAAGAATTTGGTGGACATCAATATTTTAGGCAGTAATTCTTAACCTTTTGTGGGTTGATTACATTTCTGAAAATCAGATTTCTAGAGATTTCTAGAGAAAGCCAAATTTCACAGACTTACAGAATTTTGTAATTTCCAAGATGTCGAGACTCCCATTGTGAACTTCTATAGATTTCAGGTGTTTAAATGGTGAAAGGGGAAGGGGAGTCCATGAAAGACAGTGAGAAAGAGAGTCAAATAGAAGTAGGAAAACTAGATTCCCAACTCATGGAGATTTATTCTCATCTGACCTAATGCAATGGTGGAGATAAACCCTCTAAATGAGGACTTCTCTTATATTTCCGTTTGTAAAACTGGGCCTTTCAAAGTGCCTAGTTTGAAAGTTTGAAACAGGCTAGTTTCTCTTATATTACTGTTTGTAAAACTAGGAAAGCAAGAGTGCACATCTAGAAGTAATTTACTAAATTCCCTTTTTCTTCATAGCCCTTCACAATTGAATTGAATTTCTTCCCCATTTTGTTTTGAGATTTCTTTCTTTGTGTCATAGAAACCACGGCTTAGTTAACTTTGGAAATAGAGATTTTTAGAGTATATGGATAATCCCACAATGATTTTCTTTCCCACATAGGTATAAGATAGGAGAAGGGCAAGGCCAGCATGCATTTATGTTTTATTAGAATCTCTTCCTTGTATGTCACACGTACCTACAGAAGTGATGATAACTGTAAAACGAGTTTCGTCTTGCCTGCCGGTTATGTTGTTGTAAGCACAGCACACATAGTCAGTTGTCTTCTGGGCTACTTTCTCAGATGCAACTTCTAAGCGAGGCCCATGCTTAATAATATATGTTGTATTGTCAGTCCTCCGAATCCAGGAGTAAGTGTTGGGGGGATAAGAATCAGCAGAACAATCAAATAGGATGGCCTCTCCAAGGTCAACAGTAAACACTTCCCCTACTTTTAGCCCTTTATCAGAATTCACTTGAAGTCCATAAGGTCCATCTGCACCAATATAAAAAAAGAAGTAGATGAGTAACATAAGTAATCAAAACATAGGTTTTGAGTTTGGGAGAGCTTAGTCATATTTTACTGTTTTTGAAAGTCTTCATCTTAGAGTTGGACAAGCAGGTCCTTGCATAGACTCCTAATAAATAATAAGGACCTAAATATGTTTTATTTTGATATCCATGAAAGTGAAAATTATCTGAGATTTGATTTGAAACAGTGATTTGAACTAATATGAAATAGTACCAAGCTTTTGAGTAATGTACTGATAAATCTGCAATCTTGTAGACAAACTCAATCTTTCTTTTTTCTGTGACTAGCTTATTTTTTATATACCGCTTTATTTTGTTTTATTATTATTTTTAATTGACACACGATAACTGTACATAATTATGTGGTATAGTGTGATGTTTTGATGTATCAAAACATGTGATCAAAGTATCACATTGTAGCCCATAAATGTATATAGGGTGTAATGATTAAATCAGACTAATTAGTACATTCATCACCTCAAACATTTATTATTTCTTTTTGTGGGGAATATTCGAAGTCTACTGTTGTTGCTGTTTGAAAATACTCCATAAATTGCCATTAATTACAGTCACCCTGTAGTGCTATAGGACACAAGAACTTATTCCTTGTATCTAGCTGTCCATTAACTATTTTTGTGTCTGTTAACCAACTTTTGGCTACCCCTCCATCGTCCCACCCTTCCCCATCTCCGGTAACTACTATTCTACTCTCTGTGTCTATTAGATCAACTTTTTTAGCTTCTACACATGCAAACTCAATATTTCTAAAATAGTCATTGTACCTGAAAACACTTTTACAACTGATTATGACCATGGTTTTCTCTTTAACAGCCATACTTTTGGTATTATCTATTTTTCTTCTCAGTGTAGGGTAGGCCATGTAAATGTTTCACATGGAACACTATGGAAACAGACATAGGAGTGTTTGGTATATTCACAGCATTTTAACAGTTAAAGAATTTAAAAAATCCTCCCACCACCACCCCAGCTAAGCTTAGGATTCCATTTGGAAAATAAATTACATCTTCTTTATTACTAACTAATATGCACTGATCATCAATAAACTACTTCATCATGAATATTTCCTGGTGTTTCTTTCCACATTGCAGTACTCCTGTAGCATTTTATCATTTCTATTGTGTCAAGTTACCAGCAGGTGAAGACACATTTCCCATTGCTTTCTTCAGAGAATAAAGAAAATTTAAAAAATACTCTTCACCTAGATAGGTTTTATCATTCAGTGTAAATCTTGGTTTACAGTCTAAAAATCTTTGAATTTTAGGTGTGCTTATGCTCTTCTTTCAGCTGATCATTACCAACATTTATTGAATATTTGCCACGAGAAGGAACTTTAAGTGCTTATGCAGATAACAACATTTAATGTTTTTAGCAACCACCGTGAGGTAGATGTTAGTATTTTAATTTTAGGTTGAGGAAAAAGATATTTAAACAATTTATTTGCCCATGGTCATATAGCTATTAAATAGCAGAGCTGTGACTTTAAAATATTTGCACTTAATCATTCATATTACTTCTCTAAAAAGCAATAAACTATAATTGGTATAACTTTCTATATCATAACAGTTGATTGTTGTCTAACTATAGCACTAGTTCTACAATCAATCACTGTCTAATTATTTATTAGTATTAATTTTGTAATCATCCAATCAAGTAATGAATCAAATATTTATTTGAGAGATGCTAAGTATGAGATAATTTATTTAGTATATGGGAGACAAAGAACTGTAAGACATAATTCATATTCTCAGGGAATTTACAACCTGTATTATAAACATTTACGAACATATTACAAACATATTTAAAAAATTTACAAACATATTACAAAATATGGCTATGGATGGTTTGTTCAGTAATGACCTAATCTTAAAGGTCCTGATTGTTTTTAAAGTATAAAGTATTTATCTCTCAACATGTAGAATAATATAATGTAGTAACTGGACATTAGGGTAACTAATTTTTTCAATCATTAGCTAAGCATTCTTTAGAAGTCATTTGAACTTTTTGGGTCTCATTTTCCTCACCTTTTAATATAAAAAGATGGATTAGAGGACTGATTGTCAAGATTGTCTCTAAACCCTTTGAAACACCATGATTCATGCCATGCCATTAAAAGTAATGGCAAAAACTGCAATTACTTTTCCACCATCTTAGTAAAACCATTTTGGATATTAGCCAACCAATCTAAAGTTTGCAAATTCTCTATCATGTCAGCATTTTCTGACTAATCTGCCATTGAGGAGACAAATTTTATAAGCTATAACAGAAAACGAATATACAAAATAATAGATTATCTTTAGCTAAATAACATAAACTTATCTATGTTTTCTTTCTAGAGTAAAAACATGGAGAAATGTGAAGGAACCTTACGGGTCTTTATTAACATACTGTATGAGGTAAGCCAGCTTTCAGAAGCAAACATAGAAGTTAGTACTTTCAATTTCAAGTAATAAGGAACTGAAGGTACAGGATTAAAATAAGGAGAACTATCTCTCCATTTCCTCTTACTGTATAAGAAGCCCATTCTTATATTTCAGGCTATGACACAGTCTCAGGTGAAACCACTGTGATAAAAGATTTAGAACAGTGTGCTGTAAAATGGAACTCTTTTATTCTGCATTCCACTAAATAGTAAGTAGTATAATGGGAACAAAAATTTGTTTTTTGCTCACTCAACCAAAATCAATATTGAGATTTTAGTCTGTACATGGTACGATTCCAGGCATAGTGAGGAAATCTGGTATGTTGACCACATACTGTATATGGCTATTATCTCAGGCCCTGTGGTTCAGCAGGGACCTTAACAGCATTGATAGGACATTAGAGGGAAGGAAAGCTCACCAAGCAGTGGGCACGGTTATGGCTCACAACAAAGGAAACAAGCAGGAGGAATTTACTATAGTTTAGGAGAGCAAGAGACCTGAGTCTACGTACAACAACTAAAGTCTGAGAGTCTTTCTGAGAGTAGAGCAAGGCAGGCTTGATAAAGGAGAAAAATGTGGTCATAAAAATACATCCACTCAGTTTAGGTCTTCATCATCCCCCCCTGGTTTTTGGGGTATAGCGAATGTGGCTACAAAAACAAATTGTCTAGTAATTAAACACACATAAAAATGAGCAGTACTCCCTTTAAAGTTTGCTGACATTATTCAAAACTTTTTTGGGAACTCCTCATTTGGAGTTGCCTCAGGACCCTGCAGCATAATGGAGTATTCTCACAAGCAGTGATTCTTCAATTTCAATTTCAGAGGGTGGGTTTAATTTGTAGAGGAAACCCATGGTCATTTAGAGCCAAGGCTGGTAAATAAGGTCAATTATCTAATTTAATAAGATCATTCTAGTTCAGAATAAAAATACCTTTAAAGTAAGTAATCTGATTATCTTAGCTTATCTTCCTTAATCATGTTTGATTTTGTTACTTCCTCATTTATTGGGTTTCATGATTGGCATAACTTTTTCTTTTCTATTTTATTTATATGCTATATCTGGCTCTTCAGAATCAGCTTCAAATCCCTCAAACTTCCTTGCCCCCACCTCAAGCATCTCTTCCAACTCTGGGAGCCTAACACTTTGAAGCATTTCAGTTCCTTCCTTCTGATATGTTTCTTAAAAAGTAACATAGTTTATCTGTTTATTTAAGAAATGCATGTTTTGTTTTTTTTTTTTTTTTGCAGAAAATCCTAAAACACAGAGAAGCACAAAGATGAAAAGAAAGTCATTTGTAATTTTCTAGATCAGAGAACCAGTATCTGCATTTCAGTGGATGATTTTCAAGTCTTTCTTCTATGCAATTTTTTTCTCTCTCTCTCTTTATTGCACATGAACAGAACTCTAACTACATCTCACACCCTACACATTGCTTACAACATACTTTCTTCTGACTCTACTATGATGTTGTTTTCTTTATCATTAGCACTCCAGGCTGACCATCCCTCTACTTGGAGGGGCAGGCTAGTACATTATTCAAGTGAATGGGCAATCCAATTGGAGATATTTGGAGTGATTCAACTAGAGTAACCTCTGATACTGAAGATGAAAGTAGAAGGATAATTCCATTTTGACTTTGGATTATGGTTTACTTTCTTGCCTTTGGCAGAGAGCTCTCAATAGAAATGAACCCTTTGCCTCAGGGATGGCTGTTTACCAAATGACTTGTAAAATCACATATCATCTGTTCTCTTTAACAATTTATGGCTGGGTGGAAACGGTACCTAAATTTACATCATGATGCTGTTTGCTGCCCTGCTTGGGAGCAGATGGTAAGTATTTACTGTGAATGACCTTTTTTTTCCCCTTTAATTTTTATCACTTAGAGTTCTCGCCTGCAGCATTGCCATATGTTGCACACAAAATGCAGTGGTTACTGGGTTATCATTTACAACTGGAGCTTCAAGGCATATCATGAACTGCAAGTACATATTTGTCTGAGTTACTGGCTTGACATTGCATTCCACCAAGGCCAATACCAGATTATGACATCACAACCTCATAAGTATATAGTCAGTCTTAATAGATTTTATTATACTTTTTTCTGCCAAAATAAAAAATAGTTCCTACTTTCATGAAAAAAATCCTTCAATGGAAATCCTTCAATAGTGCTTTTAGAAAACAGAATAGTTGATTTTGCTAACAGTCAGAAAAAAAGTGCCAAAGCACTATAATGAGGAAGCTGTCATCTTATAATGAGAATTTAGCCTTTTTACAACATCATCAAGTAACACTGGAATCTAAAAGGGATATGAAGAAAGATAATCTGTTCCATTTTAGTCAAGCTCAAGAAACTTTATTGAGTTCTTAATCAACAAAACCAACCAAACAAAACAAAAACAGAGCTAAAATAGTGATAGTAAGAAAAAATTTTAAATTAATTAGACTGGGTTGTGTTTGTAAATGTTACGTGGTAGGCAGTAATTGCTTAGCACAAACAAGACCCCGATGTTTGATTTTTTAAATCAAATAATCTATAAATGAAGGAGTCCATAAATGAATAAATAAGCAAATGAATAAATATTAATAAGATGAGTTGTTGACCAAGTGAAGGATTCTGCATTTGAGTGTAAAAATAGTGAAGACAAAAATTAATAATGCAATGTTCACAATTACCAATTAATAAGAGTCAAAATCTTTCTTAAGCCATGTAGATAATTCACCTTTACAATGTGTAAACAGAACCCACATTTGTAAATTTTCTAAATGTTCTTCTTTCTACTATCTGTCATTAGTTTTGCATGTGATAGATGTTTCTCTGTGAGATTTTCATAGATAATGTTTAAAATAATATAAAGAAGAAAATTCAATCTGTAAGCAAAAGATTCTGTGGAGCATAAACTTACTCAAATTGGGGTATTCTCATTATTTCAAATAACATCGTGAAGAAAAGAAGGTTTAGGAGCCTAAAGCATAATATTCAACATTTGCAGTTTTGATTATGATGTTCTCTCCTATTTTTATGTTTTCCACTCTATGTATCACAGCATATTCTGTGATAATAATGAGATTGGTGCATAGACTTGCACATGTTGAAAGAAAGATCTTATTTTTATTTTGCTAGATTAAGATGAACTATATAGCAAAACAAAAGTATATTTCAAAAATAATATTTGCAAGTACTTGTAATTGCTTATGCAATTTTCCCCAGGAGTTTTTCATTTAAATCTATGGCTAGCATTTAAAGATAGGCAGGTAGGGATGGAAAGACATAAAGATAAATAGCTAGAAGAAAGAATTGATGTAAAGAAAATATTTTACTATAAAAAAATAAAGTATGTTAAATTTAGGAATGGCAATATTTAGATAGGAAGAAAGTTCTTCTCAAGGTATTCTTTCAGTTTTTTTTTTTGCAGCCTCTGCATTGTTCTGGGTTCTTGAAATTAAGATTCTTGCTTTCCACTAAATGAGGTCACACAATGGACTGAATCACGAAATACAACCTGAATGGCCCCTGGCCAGTATCTCAACTTGATCTTCAGGAAATAGGGTTGTTCTAATAGACATATTTCATGCAAGACAGTGCCTGGGAGGTGTGATTAGAACTACTGAACTGCAATAATGGTAAAAGCCAAATGACATCTGGTACTTATATTCTCTGTGACTATCGTGGGATATATTCTCAGAAAACAAAAAACAACTCATGAGTTAAGAAAAATAAACTTACAATATATGATGGGCATAATGATATCACTTTCCATCTCACTGACAGGATTCTTCGCCAGGCAGCTGTAATTCCCAATGTCTTCCTTCGTCACTGGAGCAATATGAAGGGTATTGTTTTGGGGAGAAAAGAAGTAAGTGGAGCTGGTGTGGACAGGTCTCCCATGTTTTAGCCATTGGTAAGCTAGCCGAGTGCCCCCTTCTACCTGGCACGTCAGGGTCATGTTCCCCACATACTCCACAGCCCCAGAGGGAGGATGAATCTGCACCACCGGCTTTGTGACGGGATCTGCAACATTAAGAGAGATAGAAGTGATTTTTTTCTACTCATGGATAATAAAATCTTATGAGGTCTTTCAAATATGAACTCCTGGAGAAACGATTCCAGCATTTTACAATATAAATGTAGACAGTCAGGTAATAATTAAAGAAGAGAATAAAAAGCCAGTGAAAATACAAGATGACAAAATATAAGAATATCATTTACAGTCAGAGATAATCAAATTCCGGAATTTACTCTTCAAGGATGGTCTAATGAAGCCTTTACTTTATATGTGGCTGAGAATGCCAGCTCCCTTATTTGCTGTTCATTGGGCTTTCACCAACACCATAAAGGTACACTTTTACATATAAATGTATGTCGTTATTCTCCTCTATTGACTTGTCCTAATGTCCCAATAGCAGCTGGTTGGGATGGATGTGGTGAACTCAAATTTCTATCATCTGCAAAATATACAGCTAATATATACTATACTTTTGGGAAACTGAGGGACAGTTTTAGCAAATCACATATGTACAACTATTCTATGTATGTCATGAAGTAATTATACACTTTAATTGCTTTGCATTTGTGTTGTAACATTATGTTAGTCACTTTAACAAACCAAAGGCTACATTTCAACAGTGACTCAATCTGAAAATAGGATAATAATATATTCTTGGGCTTATATCAAATTAGAGAGAGAGAAAAAAAAAATCCAGTAGAAATTCCTGTTGGAAAGTCAAGTCATAGAGAAATAGTCTTACTTCATGGTCTGCCACCTAGTTGGCTCTTAATATTTGTCAAAACAAATTTCCAAAAATGAGCAAATATTTTCTCTCTGAATTTTAACTGTAAAGTTGATGGATTATATAAGCATGGTAGAATTATATAAGCATCTGCAACTATTTCTGGCAGTTTTCATTAATCTTTGAAGTTCTTGACTTAATTGATAAACACAGTGGCTTGCCCAGAGTTACACAGCAGTCAGTGGCAAAATGAAGAGGGCTTCACATCTGGCAATGTTTCTCTCCTGCATTTTGGAGAGAGATGTAGTTAGTAATCTCATTCTGTGTATGACTACAGGACACAGAGAGAGTAGGATGATACATAAGTGAGAGATGATTGTGTCCAATGTTCAGACTTCAATTTCCTGTCAAGCTTTTAATTAGGGTCGATGCATCTTCCTCAGGTAAATTTATTTTGACTTGTGCTTATATTTTTGTACACTGGAAAATGTGCATTAGGGCACAAACTGACAAAATTCTTCATCCCAGAGAAGACAGAAGAAAGTGAAAGGTAAGAGAAAGGAGGTTGAAAGGTAACTTATACAGGAGCTGAGTAGTTCTGAAATCTCCAGCACATTCAAGAAGGGTGTAATCAACTGGCTCATCTATTTAATTTAATCCTTCATCTTCCCTGGCAAGAACAAAAGATTTGGAAAGGCCTTATGTTTATGATATTATGAGTTAAAAACAAAAATAAATTGTGTACATTTCATATGCAGAAAAAGCTTATATTTCAAATGTACCTGCGTGTGGAATTAATTGTAGGTGGTCTGAGATAAATAGGTAACTCATCAAAAGTCTTGTATGAGAAGAACCAATCATTAGAATAGTCACTGGTATTGTGACCATACATTTGCTTAAAACAGTGTAACTGAGATGTAGAAGTTTTTCTTCTGAGAAGGATTTTGGCACAGTCGCTAAAACCCTATTGAGCCTTTACTAAGTTTTTTGTTGCATTTTCCTGAGCAGATTGAACTTTCCTACCAATTTACAAGAAAGGATATTGTATGAAAAGTTTGGAGGGAGACAGAACACCTTATAGGAAAACTTCATGGACATTCCCTTTAGATAGCTTTTTTCTTTCCCCATGGTTGCTCTCTAGGCATCTACTTCTACATTCTGCGTCTTTACTCCCCTGAAGCCTCCCCAGTCTCCTCTGTGGCCACTCATTTACTCCACAGATACTTGTTCAATCTACTAATGGTCAGCAAAGGTTTTAAGCACTGAGGACAAAGCAGCAAATAATACAAAGTCCTTGCTTCCAGGAACCTCATATTCTAGTTGGGGAAGAGACACAATAAACAAATAAAAATCTATAATATGCCCGGTAGTAATAAATGCGATGTAAAAGAGAGAAGCAGAATTGGAGATAGGGAATGACTCTCTCTTTGTCTCTCTCTGTCTCTCTCTCTGTCTCTCTGTCTCTCTCTGTGCTTGAGGAAGTGAGAATGTATTTTATACAGGGTGGTCAGTAAAGGCTTCACAGATAAAGTGACATTTGGGGTGAGACCTAAAGGAAATAAGGGAGGGGTACATGCTAGTATCTTGGAGAAAATCTGTCTAGGTAGAATAAACAGCAAGTACAAAGGAGTGAGCATGTTTTGGCCTGTTCTAGGAAGAGCACGGAGGCCAGCATGGCCAGAAACAAGTGAGTGAGGGGGATACAGATAGGAAAATGGGCTCAGATAGGTGCTGTGTATGTGGGGCATTGCAGATTGTTAATACCTTGGCTTTTACTCTGAGTGAGATAGAAGCAATGGGAAGATTTTAAGCTGCAGGAGGCAGGAATAGAAGCAGGGAGAGTTGGTAGCAAAGCTATTGGGAGAGTTCAGGCCATGGCTGATTGTGGTATTGAGTGGGGCAGTACTGCGGGTGGTAAATGGTTGGATTTTGTCTATATTTTCAAGGTAAAGCCAATAAGCTTTCTTGTGGACTGGATGTGGGATGTGAGAAAAAGACGAGGTCAACAGTGACTGCAAGGTTTTGGCTGGAGCAATTTATAGAATGGAATTTGTATTTATTTAAATGGGGAATACTGTCAAATAAACAGGGGTAGAGAGAAAAAAATCAGAAGTTGGGTTTTGGACATAGTACATTTTACATATGTCACTTACATAATTCAATAAGGAAAATAAGTGTCTGAACGTTAGCTGATCCCACTCCTCCTCAGAGGACATTCCCAGGCATGTCTACTGTCCTTACGTATCATCCTTGCTCAAGTCTCATCCTCTCCTAAACAGTGTACTGAAGCAAAAATCTTCATGACAAAATAGAGATCTTCCCAGGGTGCATTCTACTGTTAAGAAAATAAGATTTTCTCCATCTTACCAAATTAGCAACATTATACTTGATAGTTCCCAGGCAAACAAACAATAAGTTATACTGAGTGCTTGATTTCCTATTGCTGGGCACTAGGTGTATCTCTTAAATAGGACATGGATGCCTTATTTTATCTTCTGAAAGCCTTGGGAGGTAGATAATGTCATTAGTGACATGAGACATTGAGGCTTTGAGAATCAATTGATTTGTGCAAAATTGTGGAGCCAGGATCTAAAGCCCAGGAAGTTTAGTTTTCTAAGCTTTTGCTAACTACCATACTAGACTGCTGCCCACGTACACTCACAGGGGACTCACCATCAACAGTGACTTGTATCTTCTGACTGGCAGATAGAGTTCCATTTCCCTGAATGTTGACCTTCACAATGTAATTGCCTTCATCAGGGAACTGCAGTGGGTTGATAAGCAGAGATGCATTGGGTGGCATCATGGTGAACTTGTGTTGATATTCCAAATCAGGAACCACAGACTTATTCACAGAGCCCAATAAGTATTTGGGCATCGTGTGGGGTCTCTCAAATAGCCATATGATCTGGATGTCTGATGCTGGAGTGTGGAAGCCATAGTGCACGGGGAGGTAGAGGGCCTGACCTCTGATGCCATGGACAGTGTGTGATGGCACTGTCACCTTCAGTCCCGAGCAAGCACCTGTTGCAAAGGAAAGAAAAGTTGTGAAGATCTTGAGCCACATTTCACAATCTAAAGGGGCAACTACAGAGAGAACCCGATCAGATGATAATCCTTTTCAAAGAAGAGTGGCTTCTAGGTACTGACTATTCTAGTACTGGTTACATACAGAGGTAAATATTTGTCTCTCAAACCTTCTGCATTTAAAAAACTCCACCCAAAGACTGTGCTGATTGCACGACTTCTCTAAAGGCAAGATTAAAAAGGAAAAGCAGAAGTTATTTTCTATGGCTGTTACAGAATAATGGGAAAAGGAGAACTAAGAAAGTTTACTGCTTCTAAAGTCCAATGAAACCATTAAAACATTTGGAATTATGACTATATTAATGTCAGTCATATCATAAACTAATCAAACTATGTGATTTATGAAATACTAGGGGTTATTTCTGCCTAAGATTTTCCGTTAAAACCTTCTGAAATGACTGAATATTCCATTATTGGAAGTTCTTCCCTTTAGCCCAATGCTTGCCAAATGCAAATATCCCAAGGAGAGTGGCATTAAATCATTATCAGTCATGACCAGTTATTTCCACCGTGAACAGGCATCTGGTTGGTGTATTTGAGGAACAGCAAGAGGCAGGTACAGATGGAGCACAGTGGAGGAGGAGGAGCGTGATAAGATATGAGGTCAGTGAGGTGGCTAGGACAGACTAGCAGGACCTTAAGATCATGGGGAAGATTCTGGCAATTTTACTCTAAGATGGGGATGCAATAGGAGCTTCATGAACAGAAACGGGCTATGATTTTTCTCATGTTTTATTAGACCTAGTCTAGCTGCTGTGACAATACACTGGAATAGGTGCTAGAGGAGGAACAGGGAGAGGAGGTGACTGTAATATGATGGGCAAGAGACAACTGTGCTGGAGACTAGTGTGTTAGCAAAGGATGTGAGAAAAGGCTGATGGTGACAAAAGGATTTGCTGACACTTTGAGGGTGTCAGAAACAAAGAGGATACCCAGCTTCTTTACTTGGACCAACTGGAAGAATGGAATTGCAGCAAATAAATTAATCATGGGGAAGACTCTAGGGAGAATAGTTTCTTGTGGGGAAGATGAAGATCAGTTTTGGGCATACTCATTTTGAGATGCCCATTAGATATCCAAGAGACAATGCTGTAAATTCCTGATTAATGTGAACTTAAGAGAGAATGAGGGGCCTGGGGGGCCTTGGGGTATGGAGCTCTGCCCAGTGGATAGCCCTGGGAAGTGCTGGGGATTTTGCAGCCCATTCATTCACTCACTGCTGTGTCTTCAGGTTTCTTCCTAGTTTCTGGCAACTGGAGATTTCCCCATGTTACCTTAAGCCATGAGATACTATTTTATTTGGCATTTCTGTATATTTGCAGGGGGAAGAGAGTCTTCCTTAGCTCAGGTTACCATGTTGCTGGAAGCTCTTTCCTTCAAAATCCTCATATTAAAAGGGGCAACATGATACCTATTTCACAGGAACATTTGACGTATCAGGGGAGAGAGTGAGAGACATTTAAATGTAGAATATTTTGAAGAGTGAGAGAAAAAAACACAGAATAAAAAAGAAGCTGCAGACGATGAGTATAGACAACACTTTTGGGGAGTTTTGCTGTGAAGAGGAGCAGAAAGAAGGATCAAAAATGTGAAATCAAGAGAGTTTCTTGGCTATTGGGAATATTCCACTGCAATGGGAAATGTTGATAAGGCAGAATAGAGATGGGTGAAAGTGGAATAAAATCCTTAAGCAGGTGAGAAGAGATGGAGATTAGATATAAATAGAAGTATTTTACAATTTTAAATTTCTTAAATACAAAATGTTTATCCTCTTTGATCACTTCCCCTTTTTCATTGCTATCAGGGAGTCTTTAAGCTTCATCCAAGTCATGTCATGAAAGGCCATCAATATTAAAAAGGGAAAGGTCAAAAGGTCTGTTTGCCTTTTGACTTTCTTGGAAAAACTCAAAGATGTAGGCCTGCTCCTATGAGGAATCCAGTTCTACCAACAGTAGAGCATTTCACAGCTCAGCCTAGAAACCAACACTAGGCTGAGAAGGTCTGAATGGATTCTGACCAATTTTTGCTTGTCATTTGGGAAAGCCATTGCAAAAGTCCTTCTTGGCTTTTTTTGTAATAGACTTCTTTTGTAGTTATAGTTGAAAGATTGATTGAGATTTATTTACTATTCTGGAAATGGTTGGGAGGCACTATATTACTATGGGTGACAGTATCGCTGGAATAGAAACGTTGGTGACTTCTGTATCTTGACTCAAATGTTGAATCTTAAATATGAAAAGATTGGTTAGAGAGTCCATGACTAAAATTATGGGAGAAAAATTTTATTTAATAAAATATTAAATACAATACAAATATTGAAGCTCTGAGAAAAATAAAACTACCTTAGTAGAAGAAGAAATTTTTTATAGTATTTATGATCATTATTTAGGGGGGAAATTAGTTTTGGGGGCTACTTTAGACTACATCATGTAATAAGACCTTAAATAATATATTGCCATCAATATCTTTGAATAGGTTCAGTGCTTTCTTATTAAATAAAGTTTTTTTAAAAATATGTATGCCTTTTCAAATGTTTGTATGACAGTGAGAAATAGCACAGTTGTTACAGTAACTATTTGCTTAGAGATTGCCTTTACCATTTTTTATCAGATAAATGATAGGTAGCAAGCTATAAAAGTGTCAGCAGGGAATGAAATTTTCTTCATACAGTGTCTTTTCTCAGCTGTCTAAAATCTCTTCTTTTGTAGGAAAGACATTAACCTATCAATGTGATGCAATCTTTACTTGCAGTGAAATTTGGGAGTAAACAGATAATTGAATACTTCCTCCACATTCTAGGAACACATACCCTCTTGCTATTGATGTGTCTCCTACTACAGATGTGATAAATTCATGCTGTCAAAAACAGCAGTTTACTAATTTTAGAAAAATTAGCTTCATTTTGAGAAATTTTCAAGTGCTCTTTTCTAGTTGTATGACAAAACCCAAAGGAGTAAAACTATTATTTTGGAAAATCATCCTCTGCATAAACAGATGAACTTCAAGAAAATAAATAATATACAAAGTCCAGTTGCAATAGCTCATTCATGTAATCCCAGCAGTTTGGGAGACCGAGGTGCACGGATTGCTTGAGCCCAGGAGTTCAAGACCACTTTGGGCAACATGGCGAGATCCCTGTCTCTATTTTATTTGAAAAAATACAAACACAAAAATAATAAATAATATAAAAATTGATGAAATTTAAATGTATTTTTAATATTCCAAATATTTGGACTTAAGTGGAAATTCAAATTCAATTTTATTATTAAATCCACTAATATTTACTGGGTATAAGTAACAAAAACTCTTGTAAACTATAGTTCTGTTAAATAAAAAAAAAAGAAAATATCTTGACTTTTTGCATATAAGGCATTACACAAATCTGGAGAAACATTTACAATACTAATCATAATCTGACATACAAAATTACAGCAATGATCTCTCCTTTACAGACCCTCTTACACCCTATAACAATAGCATTATAAAGGAGTATCCAGTGTCAAGGTACACTTGAAGTCCTACTGTAGAATTTATCAACATTTCAGCAACAAAGGACTCCCTAGACCAGTTTCATTGTATTGAATATAAACATAAGATTTCACAAAGTGACCTCTGCTGTAGCTCAAAATAGCTGGCATTTACTTCCCCATTATCATGCGTGATATTAACAAGCATAACACAAGTATGGTTGACTGAAAATAAACTCTTGCATCTTTAGAGAAAATAGAAATTATGATGTATTTTGAATAAACTGCACAAACTACACATTTTAGGCTTCAAATTTTTTAATTTTTTTAAAAAGAAGAAAGAAACAAAAATTCAATATTCCTAAAAGCGACAAGATTGCCAAATCACCTGTGACCTTTACAACATGCTACCTATGAAGAAAAGCAAATTTGTAGAAGAGAGAAGGTCTTAAGGTATGAAAACTGCTTTAGCTATTTATGAACATGCTATTTTCCTAAAGTACATTTGTTTTATTTTAGTTGATTCCTTAACTAAATTGTCTCTAAGTTCTTCTTAAAGCAGTTTCAAAAACAACACTTATAAAATGACATCAGTCCTACTGTTTTAAATGTAAAAATAAGTGGGATGATGACCCAGGATACTTTTAAATCCAAGAAAAATGCACAAAGATAGAGACAGTTATAATAATTATTTATTGTTTCAAAAAATTTTAGAAAATAAAAATCTATTATAGACAAATTTGATAACATAAATACTGTAATAACTGGAACAACCAACTCTGGGAAACTCAAAGACTTAAAAACATTTACAAACTGTACATTTCAAATGTGTGGGATAGGCACAACATTAGGTATAAATTTGAATAATAACATTTACAATGCAAACTTTAACAAAAAATAGGAGGGAAAGTGAGGCTCTAAATAACTGAAGAAGCCTAAAAGTTAAATTGCTTATTTCGCTAAGCTGTTCTTAAATTTAAAAAAAATATAGCCTTTTTAAAGCTCCTCTCTGTTGAATATAAACAAGAAACTGATTTGACTTTTAAAACTGATAAACAGGAAGAATGGAAAAGGGAACATCTGGTGAAAATCATGTTGACGGACGAGCAGTGGGAATGTTGGAAAGAGACTCCTTTAAACTCTAAAGATAAAGAGGAGAATGAGGGAAAAATATTAAGGTAAAGAAGAAAATTTTTAATAGGACTAGCCATTGGGCAAAGAGAAAAGCTAAAGGCATTTTGGAGTAATAATTTTTTTAAACACATTCTCCCTTTTGTGTAGGAAATTTGTTAGTTTGGAATCTCACTTCTTCCTTATTTCATAAGATGAGACCAATAACGTGAAGCAGTAAACAGTTTGCAACAATATCTTTAATTAAAAAGAAAACCATTTTCATAAATTATTTAGAGTTTAAGTAGTCACAATTTCATGACCTATTAGAATATTTGCTGAAGTAAATGCATTAAAAACTATTGAACCTATATGTCAACTCTAAAAAAAAGAAATTCATTAGATTTTTAGAATATCTTAACTCCTTTCATGAGTTCTATGACAATACTTGTCATTCCAAGAAAACAATAACAATCTATTTATTGAAACTCATTTCTCTTAAATGTTCCGGCTTCTTTGCTGAAACAGTGTTACTGTTAAAAAGTTCTGACCTACTCTTCAATTATCTGAATGCATCTACAGCTTAAAGCAAATATTTACCTTATGTCCACAATTAAAAAAACAAAGCTAACAAACAGCTAAAACACAATTCACACAGGGCCTTACCGAAGAGAAGAAGGTATAATTTGCACTGAAAGACCCCAAGTGTGTCATTGAAGGGCTCCATGAAAGCATCCTGTCCCATGCATGCAGTTCCCTGTTCTCGGTGGTAACTTGGACCAGCAGCTGCTGGTTTATTTGCTAGGGAAATTAGCAGTGAGGTAACAGACCCTATCTGGCCTCTTGCTTCTGTGATTTGAATACAGAATGAATGTGTATACAAAGGACACACAGGGAGTGGGAACACCTGTTATATGTTTTGCAAGAATACGGGCTTATGACTTTCAGAAGAGTTTCTTAGCAACTATCAGCAATTGTCTATATATTTCATAAACTATACTTAGTTATTAAAAGTCACATGAAGGAAAACATCCTTTTGAGTGACTTTACTGAAAAACAGCATGCTTTCATAAAAAAGGAATATTGTAAAATTTCCTTAAAAACAAGGCTGGTTTTCTATCATACAAAACTGTGCCATTATTATTTTAAAATTTAAAAAATATAAAAATTGAAGTAGTTCATGGATCTGCTAAACAGTTATAAATCTTCAGGAAGTAACTAACATGTAAAAATTATACCAAAGAATCAAAAGCGAGCTCCAGAATATCATTTAAAATGTATTTTTCTATGGAGTGTTTCCTATTACAATGACTGATTTCATTTAATCTTTGAATTCATCTTATTTTTTAAAGCAAATCACAGGTGTGTTTCCAAGTGGGGCTGAAGCATGGACCATGCATTATTATAATGAAAAGCTCAGGCCAACAGGTAATATCTGAGGCCATATTTCACAGCTGATGCACAGAGGAAGTGAACCAATGATCTAGAAATGATCTTACCTCTACTGCAGTGTCCAGGCTACAGTTTTCCAACCTGGCCACTTCATTGTCATGGCAGCAGATAGTGTGGGCATGTCTGCTTAATTTATTAAGTTATTAGTTAACCCCTATTTCCAAGAAGGCTCTGGTCCTAGCCTTTTGTTATATAAAATGTTAAGGATATACCAAATCTGCATTACATTATCAAATCAAGTAAAAACCTTGCATACACCAGTTTAACAGTAAAGGCCCACTGAAGAAGTTCAATGACAAGAGAGGAAGGAAGAATATACTTCAAGCATAATTAAAGTCAAAAAGGAATGAGTATTTTGGAATCCAAGTTTGAAAACACTCTTCGAATTAAGGCTCTGAACTTCTAGAAAGACTTGTATAAGCAAAGAAAGTAAGTGACTATTGGGAAAACTAAGTCCTCTTCAGAGATCAGTCACTTTAAGATCCCTCCATGCTTCCGAAAAATGGCAAGAGCTCCTCACGCTCCCCGCCCCTCCCTGCAAAATAGTAACAATACTACAACTTTCTCTGTGTTATCTCTAAATCTTGTACATACATCTATTGCAGTACTTATCTCCATAATCTTAACTTATTTTATTGGATGTTTATTTTCTCTTTGAGCTCCTTGAATTCAGAGAATAATCTTATTCATTCATGGATCTTGAGGATGTAGCATAATGCTTAGTATTTTTGTTAAGTTGTTCCCCCAGAAAACAAAACTCCAAATGCTCCTTGACTTCTGCCTTATGATTCTCAGTTGATGTGTAATAAATACAAATAAATTTTAAGATTGGATTGTAGAAAATACAATTTGGAAAGTAATATGGAAGTTCTGCAGATATCATGTAGACTCCCTCAACATCTTTTAGATTGATATTAATCTCCAATTGCCTTTATTAAATTAGCTCTCTCCAGTGTTTTTCAATCTAGTGCTGCATTATGATGAAGTTTGTTGGGTCCCTGGCAAAAAGAGAAATAAAGACAATGTACTGTGTTTTTCCCCAGTGTTAAATATACTCAAAGTTTTTTATTCTGAGACTTTTATTTCTTTGTTGTATTTGAAAATATTCCCTCTTCTATGACATAAGGTGATAGTAGATGCTACATTAAAAAATAAATGCCAAAATGAATCTTACTTGTAATCTTTTTATTTCATGGCACACATTAAAATATAATATGGCACACCTAGGGAAAGGGCTACTGGGATAATCATGACAAAGCGCCCTCTAGTGGTAAACTATTGATATAAACTCTTACCTGCCGGAGTAACTTCTGATTACACCACGTTTATGCAGAAAGAAAAAGAGTGCCCCAGCTTAACTTCAACTCTTGTTAATTTTTACATGATTCTTAAAAATAGTTTGAAGTGTTTTATCATTATAAGAATTTTCCTACCATCCATATCACATCACACCTGTAGCCCACTGGGAGGTTCTGCTGTACCATTCCAGCCAGAAAAAAAGGGCCTGTAGTGTTACTATTTACCAATCTTAGTCATATTTGCATTTAAAATGAGAAAGCTGATTAACCTAAAACAATCTATATTCATGGTGATTAAACTGCAAGCAATGCAAGGAGCCACTGGGATAGAGTGTGTGTGTATGTGTGTACACATGCATTTGCAATGGCATATGGACACACACTCTTGTGCAGGGGTGTGTGTGTGTGTGTGTGTGTGTGTGTGTGTGTGTGTGTTGGGGGCAGGGCTTTTTATTACCTCTCAAATCACACTATGTAGTTTATAGTCTATTTAAATTGTAGACTGGTATTGCTTCATACAGTTAATGTCTGCTGCATGAATTTCAAACACCCACATTTTAAATCACAAGTAGCATACGTATGTTTAGCAGTGGCAGAAACAATTAAGAAGGACAGGTGGTGAAATGCCAAGGTTAATGTAGACGTAGAACAATGGGGAATAAGAAGAACTGGGGAAAGAAAGTGTTTCTTATTGTTGTAATTAGTAGATTCTCTCCAGTTTACAGGATGAGTAAGCTGCCAGAGGAACCTATCACATAGGCCTATGCCTGTACTAGTGTTCACTTCTATAAAGTCCACAAAGCTGCCCCCCAGAAGCCTTGATCTATCTTATATGGCTGCTAAATGACTATGGAGTAATGTCTTTCTTCCTGGGTACCTCTCTAGGTCACCACCTTACCTTCAGCAAGTGTTTTGTTTTCTGTTATGGCCTGTTCAAGAAGTGTAGCCATGTAATCTTGGAGGGGCTACATCTCTCCACTGCTTTGGTATTCATGGAGTGGTAAGACATTTTATTTTTCTAATCAAATCAGGATCTCAGCCTTTATTTAAGCTTCCAGAAGTTCCTCCTGTTTGGGCCATTAGAAATACTTCCTTATCCTACTTTACTGCTAATCCTGTTGCCCTGAATCATATCAATTTATTTAACTCTCGGCTCTGATGTTCCAATCTGCAAAAAAGGGGTTAGCACTCCTTTCCAAGGAATTAGTATCCAGCAAGCCTTCCTCAAGATTTGCTGGCAGACCATCTAAACTTTCCATTACTTTGACCTATCACTAACAACAGCTCTCGGGCAAATATGAAAGTCCTGAATAAATCTTATATATAAATATCTTTTTGAAAATTGGAAAGGAAATAGCATGCTCTACTTTTAAAAAGTGTTTTTTAGGGTGCTAAGTTTTTTGTTTTTTGAGTGTAGATAGGTAAAAATGAATCACACAAGGCTCAATTATTTTATATAGTGTTAAGTTTTGCTGAATTAGAAAATATAGTTTATTTAGATACCAGTGCTGATTTACTTTACATGCTTTCAATATTATAGTTACAGACTTTTTCTCCAGCTTATAGAATATAAACTAAAATATACGAGTATTGGAGTAAAACAAAGTTCAAACGCTTTCTTGCTTTTTCAGTGTCAAATAACATTCATTTTTCTGAATTTGGACAACAGAAATAAACACATTCGATTAAAAAAACTTTTTTGGGGGATCGTCTTTAACTTTGTGTATTTGAGTGTGAGGGAGAAAATTCTGGGGCTGAATCTGAGTTCCAGTTCTAGATCAAGCTCTCATGAAATGTGTGGCCTCGAACCTTTATATAGATAATTTTCCCCATCTTTACAGAATGGATTTGACATGCTAGAGCTGGATGGCTTATGAGAATCACTGAAGATCTTAAACAAAAAAACAAACAAACATCCCCAAAGAAAACAACAATAATAACAGCACACGCCTCAGGTGAATCCGAAGTCAGGTTTGAGAATCACTGAACTTGGATCACCCCTAATGCACGCTTTTAAACGAAATTGTAAACTGCTTGTGACCACAACCATACATTATTAATCTAAAGTGCTTACTATAGTGCTGCTTTGAGCTCAACAATCAAGAAATGTTTACTGATTTGAGTTTATTTTATATGCATGGCTGGCAGTTTTTCTTTTGATGCTTCCACGGACTTCTAAATATTGAAGATTTTCACATACAAAGAAGTCGGAAAATTAAGATTAGAACAAGTAAAAAATAAACTAAACTAGACTTGCCCTAAATGTGACCAGAATTTCTTTAAGGGGTTAGAAATAACAGTCAGAGAAGCATATAGGTAAACATATAATTTCAAAGAAATTGCTGAACGCAGTGATACAAGTATGCACAAGGTGGTTCTGTTGGAGTAGAGAACTGGGCAGAATAAAAACTAATAATACCTCATAATTGTACAGTGCTTTACAATTTATACATTTCATTCACCTACATCGTCTCATTTATCCTTACAAAACCCTATATAAAATATTACCTCATTTATAAAAATAAAACGAGGCTCTGAGGGGTGAGAAAATAGAATTTCAGAATCAGAAATAACCTCTGTTAGTGTGCCCCAAACTTCAGTCATTTGCAAATCACCTTTATTAGTTTTGCCATATCTGACTACCTAACACTTTCTATTAAGTTGACATACTTGAACATTTTTTAATTCTAAGAAATATTTTTGAAATTATGGGTCTGTGTCGTATTTTTAAAAGTTAACAATATAAGAAAATAAACTTTAAAAAATGGTACCATGCTTTATAACTCATTCTTCAACACAATACATGAAACCCGTAACACATCTGATAACCAATCCTTCAGTTTCTGCTTGCACATCTGCAGTAATCTTAGGCAAGTTTCTTAATTTCGCCATACCTGCTTCGTCATCTTTAAAATGGGAACTCACAGGATTCTTGTGTGGATAAATGAAATCATACATCTAAAGCTATTAGCAGTTGCAGACAGGTACTTAGCTTTCGATAAGTGTTAGCTATTATTGTTAGCTTTACGGCCACTTTTTTTTTCTTCTAATATTCTCATAATTGTAAAGTCCTTTTAAAATTGTGCCCCCAAAGACACTCCTATTCCATTCCCCAATTTCACTAAACCGCCTAAAGTTGAAAAGAGGACTTTAAAGTGACACGTGCACAACAATAATGTATTGTCCTATTTCCCGTCTTCATTTGTCTTAGAGTACGGAGGTAAAATAATTGGCGGGAGGGGCCGGGAGCAGTGTAATCCCAGCCCTTTGGAAAGCCGAGGCAGGCTGACCACCTGAGGCTGGGAGTTCGAGACCAGCCTGACCAACACAGTGAAACCCTGTCTCTACTAAAAATACAATATTAACCGGGCGTGGTGGCGCATGCCTGTAATCCCAGCTACTTGGGAGGCTGAGGCAGAATAATTGATTCAACCCGGGAGGCAGAGGTTTCGGCGAGCCGAGATCGCGCCATTGCACTCCAGCCTGGGCAACAAGAGCGAAACTCCGTCCCCCTCCCCCCAGTAGGCGGGCGTAAAAATCCTTTTATTTTGGAGCTTGCAGGGGATGCCAAGACTGTCCTAATCCTGGCGGACTTCCTATTGGGCAACCTAGAGCACACCTTTCCTCAGGCCAAACCCAGCGAGCCCGGGGTAGTCTAGCGTTCTCAGGTCACCTCTCAGTGACAACGCTTTCTTGAGTTTTTTCTTTCGTGTCAGTTTCTCGTTCTCCCACCCCGCCCCTCTAGACCAGGTGGGGTTTCCTCCATCACACTGCTAAGGGACATCGCGCCAGTCTGGCTTATACATTGTCTCTTCTGGGTTTGGTCTTTCGCTCAACGCCTAGTCACCTATGACTTAGGTTTTCGTCTCCCTGAAGAGGAACTACCTAGTGCAGGTACCTTCGTAAGACCGGCGATCGCTGTGGCCACTCTGAGCAATAAGATTTACCGGCTCTACTGAAGCACCCGCTCTTTTGCTTGCTGGGAGTTGTAGTCCCTGGCCTGGCCTCTTTGTTCATTGTTGCTTGCCGCCGGGGGCCAGAAGACTACAATTCCCAGCATGCTCAGGGAAAGAAAGGATGACCCGGGTGGGCGCCTCCACGTGACCACCCACTATGGCTTCCCTGTGTCAGGGCCAGCTGTGGAGTGGCTCGGTGTGATTTGTTAGCTCTTTGAGGCAGGGTACCCTTCTAAGGATTTCGACATGCAAAAAATCAAATCGCTCATGACCCGACAGGTAAGTCGCAGCGGCTGAAGCAAAGGCTTCCTTCATTTCGTCTGTGAGAGGAGCTGAGATGTTCTGTCCCCGACCAGTGGCGGCCGGAGACCTAAGTTATGGGTGGTGGCAGGTGTCAAGGGGGACTGGGAAGCCGGGGCACACCCTGCAAAACTCACCTGGGCCGCCTGGGTTGGAGCCCTGCTCCAGCGGGTACCCGTCTCCCAGAAACATTCCTTTAAAAGAGGTCACTGAAGGAATCAGTATATCTTTGTCTTCCCTCCTCCTCTTTTTGCCATCTTTCCAGAACAGCCCCAGCTGCTTTGCAAGGTCTTCCGCATCCAGGCTGTCATATGCGAGCTGATAGCCTGGGTAGGGTGGTGTGGTCTGTGCAGCAGAGGTGATCTGGAAAGAGTGAAAACGGATGATTTCAAGACAGAATTGGTAGCTTTTGGATTTTGGGCAAGTCCCCAAACTTTGTAGGTTACATTTCTGGATGTGAAAATAATTATTTTTGTTCATTCTATTTCACAGTTCTGTTATGAGGATTCATCAATAAGCTAATATATGTGAAAACTCTTTGTGAAATTCTACTTTAAAAATTTATTTTTGTGATGGCAAAATGCTGATCTTTTCTTTTTTTGCCAGAGTGAAAAGTCATGAATAAGAACTTTGGCTATTTTGTAACCTGTCTCATAAATGTTAGGGACTTCGTAATAATGCCTCAGCTTCCTTTAAGAAGTGCAGAAATTTTCTGTTATGTACGTATCGATTATGACTTTGTTTTAGCTCCCTTTGTTTATTTCAACTTTAATATTTCACTACAATTGGCCATTGTTTTATTATTTTAATATGAAAGATGATTAAGATTATAGTTTTAAATCTTCATGGCTTTTAGAAGTTTGGAGAATGTGGAAGATAATCGTTTAGTGCAAGGTTTGTGAGTATTTTTCTTGTTTATTACAAAAAGAACTCAAATTCCACATTCTTATTTGAGAATTCAGATTTTGAGGGATATATGAAACAGGTTACAAATTGTTTATTTCTCTTGCAAAATGCACAAATGATGTTTACATAATTATTTTACTTATGTAAGATGATTTTGTTAATGTTATGAAAAGATAATCAAAATGTTCTGTGAATAATAAAAATATTTAAGTAAGTGGCTAGTAACGTTTGGCAATTCCTCACACGTGTTGGGTACTGGTGTTATGCATCCTACTACTTCTTGCTTGACAATGAGTTTGGGTCCTGCTGTATCTTGTGGTAGCTGTATGACTTTCGGCAAGTTACATACAGTTTTAAGCATCCGTTTTGACATCTTTAAAATAGGAATAATGTGTACCTTATGGAGTTAGCCTGATAGTGGTGTTTATATGATATGATGAAGTTAAAGAGGTAAAGGCGTTAACGCAGTTCCTGGGCATTATCAAGGAAGTGCTTGAATATAGAGACCACTACATTGGCTGCGTTGATGGTGGGAAAGTAGGAAAACTGGAAGCAGGCTGTTGCAGTAATTCAAGCAGTAGATAAGTCATGCTGACTTCGGTACCTGTTTGTTGGATTTTTAAATCAATATACGCTTTTGTACATGATGCCACTAATACCTCTAAACTACCTTTGGAATGCTGAATTTGGACTTTTGTGCATCAGCTAAGTTTGATGCTTTCTCAAGTTCAGTGTAGTTAACATTGTCATAATTGTACAGTAGCTGTGGTTGGTTTAGTTTTTTGATCTCATTTTGTAAAAATGAGGAGGAGAGAAAAAAATTTCCACTAGCAATGATGGAAAGTGTATGTCTCCTGAATGTGATGCAATTGTGCTGAAAATGGTAACACTGAAGGCTTAGTTCGTTGCTTATTGAATTTCAGCAGGTCAAACCTGTGTTTAATTGGAGTGGAAAAAATACATCAAAGAACATATACACAAGGCTGAAACTATACTGGTACAAAGTGAGGTAAAATTAGGAGTTTTGCACACATATTTAAAGTTATCCTAATTATATATGTTTATGGCTTGCCTTTCACATATTTGATACTGATGTATAGTTCCTGAATCTATGAGGTATGAAAATAGCATGCTGCCTATTTACATTGAGGGTTTGAATTAGTACGGTTTATTATTGAGTTAAACTTAATAGGATTAAAATAAGTATATAAGAAAGTATTTCTTTTTTTGAATCTATAGAATATGCTAATAATATATATTGAGTTAATATAGAGAGATAGGAAATTAAGGTCTGTGAAATTTAAGTTTTGGGACATTTCAGCGGTCCTGGGATCTTTGTTTGCAAAATAATGGGAGGGAAGGAAGGCTTTGTTAGCTCTCTTTATTTGGATGAGATCTGTTCATCTTTCTCCATTATGCTGGCCTCTGTTCTTTCAGTCCATTCAACAAATGTTTATTGAGCACTATGTGCCAGGCACTATTCTAAGTAAAAAAAAAAATAGACAAGTGTTAAGGCAGACATGGTGATAAACACTTCAGAGGAAAAGAGGTTAGGAAGTCCTGGGAATTATTGGTGATTTGAGGTGACTTATAATTTTAGATAGGATGGTCATGGAAGGCCTCTCAGAGAAGGCAATAAAAAAATACCTTAAGGGGGTGAGGAAGTGAACTCTCTGATGTGGATATTTGGGAAGGAACATTTCCAGTGGAAGGAAAGGCAAATGCAGAAGTCCTGAGGCAGGAGCTTGTTTGAGAAATTGCTCAGACAATTGCTCAATTGTTTGAGCAATTTCTCAAACAAGTGGCCAGTGTGGGTGAGGTGAGTGAAAAGAAGAGTAGTGGGAGATGAGGTCATGATAAGGTTAGATTTCTGAGGGCAGGAAGCTAGATCATATAGCACCTTATAGGTAATAGCAAGGCCTTGGTGTTTATTCTGAATGAAATGGCAAATAAAGGAATGATATAATCTAATATAACACTTCAGACAGATCATTCTGACCCATGTTTTAAGAATAGATTGAAGAAGCGAAAAGAGCAAAAATGGGGAGACCAATAATGAGGCTTGTGTGGTAATCCAGGTGAGAGGGTGGGCGTAGGCCTTCCGCCCTAGTGGCAGAAGCGTTGAAAGAGATCAGTGTGCTGTAAATGTAGAGGTGACAGAATTTCCTGACAGATTGGGTTTGGGATGTGAGGGAAAAAGAAGCATCAAGATGACTCAAAATAATTTGGCCCCAGGAATTGGAAGAACGGAATTGCCATTTCCTCAGATGGATAAAACTGAGGGAGGAACAGATGGGGGAAGGTACATGGTTTTTAGACTTGTTAATTTGAAACCCTCTTAAATATTCTAGTGGAGAAATAAAGTAGGCAGTTGGCCAGATGAATCTGAATTGATGGGGTGAATCCAGTGTATAGCTAAAACTCTGGGAGATACAAACATGTAGATTGTATATAAACTGGTTAAGGTCACCAGTGGAATGAGTGTAGATATACGAAGAATCTGAGGTTGGAGCTTTTGAGAATTCAGTGTTAAAAAGTCAAGGGGAAGCAGTGGATCCAGGAAAGCAGAATGAGAACAAGCAGCGTATGAGGTAAGAAGTCTTTAGCTTCCCAAATGGCACCTGGAATATAGCAGATGCTCAATAAATATTTGTTGCATGAATATGGGATAAAGAGAACAACCAAGAAGAGTGCCTTGAAGCCAAGTAAAGAATTTTAAGGAGTAAGGAGTGATTAGCTGTGTTAAATGCTGCAGATTGGCCAAGTAAGGTGAGAGTGAGAATGAGAAATGTGCTTTTGGATTGAGCCGCATGGAGGTCCTTGGTGCCCTGAATACAGCAATTTTCATGAAGTTGTGGGGTGGAAAGCCTGAATAGAGTGGGTTCAGGAGAGAATAAGAGGAGAGAAATTAGGGACTGGGTGTAAACACTTTTGAGTTTTGCCAAAAAGAGAAGGAAACACAAATCATCACAGATGCTTTTTTGGATGGATAAGATACAGTTGCTGGTTTCATAAATGGAAAATGAGGATTAATGTAGACATAACCGAAGTAGTCTGAAGTGTTAATCTGATTTGGGCAAATAAAATGCAACAGCAAGTGTTAATTTATGCTGAATTTTCTATATGTCTAAACTGGGGAATTATCAAAACAAAAATCACATACGAAAGAAAATCAAATAGTGGTTAATGATTAGCATCAAAGTTTTAATAAAGGCAGAGAACTACTACACTTATAACTGTAACTTCATGGTTTAGAGAGATAAAGTAAGAATGACTTTGTTAGAAATTTATAAAATTGATAAAGTGTTAAAGATCTATAATTCTAAAGTACAGTTGAATGTCATGTTGTGTTTTGAGACATTTATGTAATTCTTCTTCTGTTTTGATAAAAGGAAAACATTTCTGTCATAATAAAAATATTTAGAATTACAGTTAATGAACACAGAATGCTTGAGATATATGAGACAGTATTTTTGGCTTCTCACATACTTACTTCTTTTACTTCTTATAATAGCCTGTGAATGATCATCTTAGAATATAATGCACAGAAAAGATAGGTTGTTCAAAATCACAGTGAGAAAGTCAGGATACAAATTCAAGTGGTCTGCTCCAGAGTGCATTCCGATAATCACTTCACTCTACATCCTCCTGACACTTACATGGGGTTTTCCATTTGTATTGCTTTTATTTTGTACATTTGGCAGAAATTTGCTGTGTGTTGGTATTGAATTGTTGCGTGGTGACTATTATGGAGGTAAGACCTTTTTCTAGATGTTGGTATATATCACATTTACATTTCAGGCATTGGTTTCTTTGCAGAGTTGTTCTGGGGAAAGAGAAATTAAACATGATATATTCCTTCGGGGATTTCTGTTAGTTTAGTTAAGCAAATTTATACAGATGGTCCCTGATTTATTATGGTTTCACTTAATGAATTTTTGAGTTTATTATAGTTTTATTGAGATTATTAAATGCATTTTCCACTTACAATGGGTTTAAAAATTTTTTTAATTTTAAGTTCAAGGGTACACATGCAGGTTTGTTACATAGGTAAAGTCGTGTCATAGGGGTTTATTGTACAGATTATTTTGTCACCCAAGTATTAAGCCTAGTATCCATTAGTTATTTTCCTGATCCTCTCCCTTCTCCCACCCTCCACCCCCAGGCAGTCTCAGTGTCTGTTTTCTTCTGTATGTTTCTATGTGTTCTCATATGATGAATTTATTAGAACATAACCCAATTGCAAGTCAAAGAGCATGTGTACTTTGAAAAATGTTTGTTTAAATACGTTTAAAAGACATGGCAATTACACTTTAAAAATATATTTTAGGGGTGGTCATGATTTTGAATCAAATTGGGAAGTTTTACTTTCACATGAGTGTATATATAATGTATATAGAAGTTTAGTTTGATAATTCAATCTTGCTTTCTTTACCGCTTTTGATGCTGTTCCCTCATGACTATTGTGAGAATTCAAGACAAGGAAGAAAAAAATCACCCAAGACTAGTAACATACTGGTTTTCTTCCTTACTCATTGAAAGGTATATTAAACCTCATTAGTCCTTTTTTTTTTTTTTCCCAGCA